AAGCGCCTTCAGCCTAATGTTGGAAAGCACTGGGCTAAATTTTGAATCGCCACTCCCTGGCTGACGAGGGTAAGAGGTGGAAGATGGATGGGGCAAAGTGGTGAAGGAGGGTTTATGGAGCTTTGGGACACAGAGCCAGGCTCTGGTGCTCTCCCCGGGCCAAACCTGGGCCAATCTTGGGCCAAAATAGCCCTTGTTCTCACGAGACATCAATCAATCAGAGTAAACACGCCGCTTCTTCTCATCAACGATTTCTCACGTGACGCGGTTGTTTTTTCCCCCCAGATTTATGTTTTCCTCCGTGACCGTCCATACATTTTGTTTGGTTTGTTTTGTGTCATTTTGGTGACCCAACCTCGCTATCAAATTCCATTATCCTCGTCTCTCTCGAGTTCTCACCTGGTTAAACTAAATACATTTGAAACTTGTGTGAAGCTGATTTTACTTTGTCTGCAGCTACTTTTGTTTTTTAATATCACGGTTGCTTGAGCATAGGCCCATAAAGGGGCCAGCCTGTTCAACGGCAAAAAACAGATATATTGGGGATATAATTGATGAGACTTCATACGTTTCTTAAATTGCACGGAGCTCTTAGAGTTTGGGAAAAGAGATTATACGAGTGAGAGTTTCAGAGTCGAGCAGTGTGAGCGAAGAAGCAGAGCGAGAGATGTGTGTGTTTCGATTTAAAGCTTTCGTGACTGCAGGGACCCATCTTCTTGGTTCTTTCGGTAAAGTCACGTAGAAGGGAAATAAAAAAATAATAAAACTTTAACATAATAAGAATACAATTCTCACGACGTTTCGGCCACAACGCACGGACGGCTGCTTGCGTTGTGGCCGAAACGTCGTGAGAATTGTATTTTATTATGTTTTTTATTTTATTATTTCCCTTCTACGTGACTTTACCGAAAGAACCAAGAAGAGAGATGTGTGTGTGTGTGTTGAACTGCAGTGCAGTGGTCGAACATGGTACGAACGAGACTAAACAGTAGTCTTACAGACAGAGTCCTCAACGTGGATGGATGAATCGGCGAGTGAATTTCCTAATGGTTGCGGAAGAAGAGTGACTGACCGCTGGCGAGCAAGTGCCAGATCGGCAAGCCTGACTTAGCGCCAGAGTTCTGGGAGATTGTTGTGGTCCAGTCATTGGCACCAGATCGTGTGCATGCTTATTTGTTTTGCTCTTCTATTTTCGGAAGTTTTACGTTCCCCCCACCCCCACCTTGCACGCATGGTCCGCTGTTCGCACGTTCTCCCTGCGCTGCACCCTTGCTTCTACTTTTGGGCATGTGTATAGTGAAGGCCGTGCCTCCCGTGTTATTCAAAGTCCTCCCTCTGGGCGAGCGTGCTCCGTGCAGAGCGCTCGCTGCCGCCCGCCTCCAATCGCTTTCGGCGAGAGAAATAAACTCTCGGAGAGATCCGGTCCCGTTACCTGGTCCCGCCGTGCGAGTAGCGGGAACGGAATGTCCCCCGGAGATGACGAAGGGCATGCGTCTGTTTTTTTTTTTGGCCTGTACTGCTACTGTCCGTTATGTTTTTCCATCGGCGTCGTCGGATGAAGAAATGTTTGCTTGGAAATTTGCGGCGAGCAGTGCATGATCCTTGCGTCGGAGGTTGTGTCGCCTTAAAAGTTTTATCTTGGAACTTTATTTTGAAGTTGTTCCAGTCGACCTCTGTCGACACGAGAGGGTACACCTTATAGAAGAAAAGTGTCCGTCGCGTAACAATCAAACCGATATTTCCGGAGCTGGAATGTAGGCAAAATAAGTGGCAAAAAAGCGGGTTACTTTTCGATTTAAAGCTTTCGTGACTGCAGGGATTCATCTTCTTGGTTCTTTCGGTAAAGTCACGTAGAAAGGAAGTAATAAAATAATAAAAACAAAACATAATCAAATTATTCTCACGACGTTTCGGCCACAACTGAGGACGACTGCTTGTGTTGTGGCCGAAACGTCGTGAGATATTATGTTTTATTTTTATTATTTTATATACTTCCCTTCTACGTGACTTTACCGAAAGAATCAAGAAGCAGGTTACTTATTTATCGTTTGGATTGGAGACTGGTAGAGTTGGAGCTCGCACAATTCTGTCTGTTGATTGGAGGGTCAGGGAGGGGCGGGGCGAGTTCTGACGAGGTGCGAGATGTGGACACCGATCCATTACGCTCCAAACAACCTCTGGTATCCTGGGGCGGAGACCGGCAACTCGCTTCACTTGACTTGTGAAAACCTGGTGCGATCGCAGGTGTTTGAATCCCAGACTCGAACCCAGGACCCCGTCGGTGCCAGCTCTGTGCTCTGACCTCTGGGTCACCCGGTCGCACGTTGCCAGGGGCTTGCTGTCTCTCTGGTATTGTTCGATGATAGGTCGGCGTGCCCGAGTTCCCATGCCGGATGGGACCACAGGGCAGCTGTTTGTACAGCTCTTGTAAACAACAATAACAAAAAAACTAACATTCGTCCATGACACTGGTGAGCAGCCTTTAAGAGGAAACTATACAATAGGTGACGTTTTGGGCAATGGCCCTTCTTCATAGCACACAAAGTTTGCACAACAGGTGGCATGACCACACACATGGCCCTCTGCTGCTTACCAGAACCCCACCCGCGCTAATTCTGACCAACCAAAGAGCATCCCAAGTTTAACTTGCCGGCGACGAGGCTTTGTGTTTTAAATTACGTGGCTGTACGCCAGCGGCGATTCTCGGCATAGCTCGTCGATTATAAAGCCAAAATTACTTACAAATACCTACGGGGGTGGGGGGGCAGTGCGTATTTTACTGCGTACGGTTTTATGTGCGTGTGTGTTTGTTAATAATCTGCCCTTCACATTCACTCACAAACCACCCGTGGCAGCCGACTCGTATTGTTGTGCTTCGGATTCCCGCCGAGGAGCGCAACGGTATTTCACCCCGATGGCATTTTCATCGCTGCTTCGGTATTTTGACAAAAGCGACGTGATTAATCGGTCAAGCGGCATCTCTGATTGATGCTGCCGTTTCATATGGTTGTCGTGATAGCGCCCGTTGTCGTTAAGGAGCTGCTGCGGGGAAAGAAAATAAAACGAACCGAATGTTTTGCGCGCGCCGGTGGTGAGCCGCCGCCGGCCGTGTGCGCCTGGCAGTGCTCACGTCCGCGTCTCCCCCGCTCGGAGAGGAAAACATTGGTATGCATCGCAAAATCTTGCTGCACCATCGAGATGGGCACAAGCTCAGGATTCCCCCCCCCACCACACCATGGGACCTGACCAATGCATGTAATGGGAATTGGTTGAGGATTAATTTAATTCCGTGCAAGAAGCCGGCCCAGCGTTTAAGTTGCATTCTTATCGTGCCGTGGCTCCGGTTTTCAGTAGTTATCTCTTTGATCCATGGCCGTTCCTGTGAGCAGCCCAATTTATGGTGTCGGGGAAATGGATGATGTTGTTCATTGGAGTGTGTGTCTGTACTGCATGTATTGTATCGGTCGCGTCCTTGATAATGAATTGTCACAAATGCATATTATAAATCTTGCGCAAATTCCGGTAGGCATCGAGCACATTGTTGTTTTGGAGGTGAGCATGTATTGAACTGGCCTGCTTTCATATTAGTGAGCCTCTGTGGTTCACGGCCATCGATGGTCAAATTCCTTTTGGCACCCTCCCACTATAAGCTGCTTAGAAACCAACGCATTATAGTTCCGCTCATGATAAACGCACCTGAGTAAAAACTGCCGCCCGGTCCCCTTCCATAAAGAGACGTCCTTTGACGCGTTTTAGAAGGCTCGCTCAATGGAACGGGGCAAGCCGTCTAGTTTATGGCTGGCCGCCGCCCCGTACCATGCCTTGTGGCCTTCGCTTGCTGGGGCTATGGATAGTGCTGCCCGTTGCCTCCAGGGGACCATGTCTGCCGTATACGGTGCGCGGCATGCGTGTCCAGGACAGCTGGTGCGGCTATACTGGGAGAGGGGGGCCCACCTAAATTTGGGCCCCCCCCCCCCCCCTTGTAGTAATTAATACCTCCAGAAGTTCCGGAGCGAGGAGATTTGTGTGTTGTGACCAGCGCTTCCAGCGACGTCGCCGACCAAGGGGGAAGATCGCCGGTTGTTTTGTGAGCCGCGTGCCAGTTTGGGGCCGGGCTCTTTTGCGTCCGGCGTGTAAGAACATGGCCTCTCTGCGTCCTCGCCGCGTGTTCTGTGGGCAGACCTCCCATGTGCTGCTGGCGCGGCGCGTGACAATTGATGACGAATGTCTGCAGCGATTCGGATGGACGTGTGGCGGTAACTGATAGCCGGATTTTGCAGTGTTACCCGCTGCCGCCGCCGCCGCCGCCGCCGCAGCCACCGCCGTCTGTCAGTATCCCCGATGTTAAATAACTTAACGGTGAATGGAGCCGCGTGGGTGCACTGTACGCCAGCGGGTTGCGCTGAATACGATTCCCCCATCGTGCGGGACGCGCACGTCACGCGCTGCGCTCGGCTGCCGAATCAATTGGCAGTGCAATAGACGTTCTTATTAATCTTGAACACCGCTATTTAATCCCTGGATCGGTTGCCGTTGTCAACTGGCGCGCACGCTCTAGACGGCGGCGGAGGCTGGAGGCTGGAGGTCGCACGCTGCCGCTCTGTTCGTTATCTCGCCGTTGTTGTTGCGTGAATTCAAATGGGTGGCTGCCACGCTGGAATGCTCTTGCCGGCCTCACCTGCTTTTACTGTATGGCTGGGCACAGCAGTACAGGTACCCTTTACCCACTGCATTAGCATTTCGAGTTTGCCCGCCTTGTGCTTAGCTGTTAATTTCCAGGCTTTTATGTGGGGTGGACGGCAATTTAATGGTTGATAAAGCTCATTGGTAGTGAGCTTGTTTAAAAAAAATTTTTTTTACAAAAAAGTTAGTCACACCGCGGTATTGGCTAGTCGACGTCTCTCGCACGCTTTCTCACTTCTCGACAACGCTCTCTCCCAGCGAGACCGCCCATAATCGGCTGCCTCTTGTGTGTTGTGCTCTGTGTGTTTCTCCCGCAGAATGATTGACGATCGGGCGCAACCCTCAAAGGTCATGGCGGACCGTCGGCAGCTCTTCCTCGAAATGCGTACGTCTTGCACGCAAGCGGGCACGTGCAATGGGGTTCGCGCACGGGGGCGGCGGTGAGCGCGGAAATAGCTGCATGAGAGCTCCGCCCGAGTTCCACGGAGCTCCATGGCAGCTCCACGGAGCTCCATGGCAGCTCCACGGGAGCTCCGGGGGAGCTCCGCGGGAGCTCCGAGGGAGCTCTGCGGGAGCTCTGGGGGAGCTCTGCGGGAGCACCAGGGAGCTCCGCGAGATTTCCACGGGAGCTCCGCTATATTTCCACAGAAAACTGTACGGGAGCTCCAGGGAGCTTCACGAGAGTTCCACGGGAGCGCGTCGCCATTCTCAAGGCGCACCGCAGCTGTGGATTTGAAGGCGCTTTGAATAACCTTCGTTGCTGGGAAAACTGAGCGGGCAATAGTGACGCTCGGTGATGTTTTGCCGCAATGCACCCTCCGCTTCTCGAGATGCTGTACAAGTTAAGCGTGTAGCGATTCGTCAGATTCGTAGATTTCACTTTATTCGATCCGATTGTGTAAGTGTTTTAAGTTAATGTAGCGAACAAAACTTTACAACCAAGACGGAAAATAATGAGAAACAGAAGCAGTGAATTATACGATTAAAATGGGAAATTAAATTAAATGTATTCTTGAATTAAATCGTGCGCAGGGATTCATTTTAGCTCTTTCCACTTGGGTTGGCGACCAGCAAAACAATTCTGCGCCGGGCACGCCGCATCCGTTATACCGCTCGCCATGTGCTGTGTGACTGCCGCTCGCCACGTTGTTTTTTCTCCGCGCGAAATTAAGCCCCTGATCGTATAAACCCTGGCGCCCTCCCTCCGCCCCCCACAATCGCTGGGTTTTGTTTTGGGTGAGGGTGGTGGGGCGGCGAAAATCTCTACGTGACAACCGAATGGGCGACGCGATTGTGAGCGTTGCACAACCAACGGGTGCTTCTGCGGGCTTTCACGCCGCCCTTCTGCTGGCGCGGGCGGGCACTTGCGATTGTGGTGTGCACCGGAGCATTGCAGCGGCGGAGATTAGTGGATGTTATCCAAATGTCAGCTTTTATGTGCGCATCTCCGGCAAATGGGCGATGAAAGGCTAGCGGCGACGGATAATGCCAGAAGTGGTCGCTAATTGCCTTTGCCTTCGTGGTCGTGATTGCCTGACGGGGCCACGTGGGGCCAGCTAATAAGAGCGGCCACTTTTGGACAATATGCGTGTCCATTATTTGGAATTGTGAAACTGAATATTTTCCAGGTGGGTGGCTGGTCGATGTGGGGTTAGGTGGCACGTGGCTAAGTGAAGCACGGTCGTTGCGAGGGGTTCTGTTCTGGATGTGGTGTGCCAGGTGCAGACATTATCTTCCTGGTCGCTGACCTGGACAGGCCCGAGACCAGCCGTGCACGCAACGGCCTCTGTCTTGCATTTTGGTGCCTCGAAATGTTGAAGAACCCTTCATAGTAATTGTAAATTTTACTCGTAAAGCGCCGCACAACATTTTCTCGCACTTGAAGTGGGAGGCGCGAGGAGGGAACCGCAGACAAGTGAGAAGGCGGCAGCCAGGCGGTAATTCGGTGCCAACAATTGCCCAAGCTTTGCAGTTGTCTATACATTAAGATGTTTTCAGCCAGTTAATGAGTGCTTACGTGTGGGAGGAAACCGGTGCACCCGGGGAAACCGTACAGACGTAACAGGTAATTTTGCCGTACCAACTTTTCCTGGAGAGCCAAGGTACGGCGGCACCTCGACACCTACGGGGGGAGGGGAGTTTTCTCCACAACGTCCGTGTGCGATCCACCAACCTTCGCCTTCAGTGCCTGATTACAAGCCACGTGCATCGCCGCCGCCGCCACCTACCCCTGTCGTGAGGATGCTCGATGTGACTCACCGGAGCGTCGTGCTTGAGCCACGCCCGCGCGCTCACCGGCCAGCCGACCAGGCCGGCGAGCGAGAGCGCATGCCGCGCTGCGCCGCGTCTTTCTCGCCGCTGTCATCATCCATGTCTTTTTTTGTTGTTTGCAGGGGCTCAGAATTTCGACGCCATTCGGCTGTCCACGTACCGCACGGCTTGCAAGCTTCGCTTCGTTCAAAAGAAATGCAACCGTGAGTTGGCTGGTTGTTGTGAAAATAGTTTGTTTATTTTTTGCTTGCGTGGATGCCGTCGTGAACTTTGCTTTGATCGTAAAGAGCTGTGGACCTCGGAAGCCGGGCATATTTATTTGTCGTCTTAGTCGTACTTTAGGTGAACTTATGACACGTGTAAAAGAGTTACTTCTTTATGTGAAGCCAGTTATGAATGGGCTTCGCATAGTGTTATTGCCTACGTTTATGGAGTACTCTTGATTATAGCAGTGGTACCCAACCTTACTGGGAACCCGCCTTCAATAAATGTTCATGGAGCTTCGTGCTCCAATGACATTATACCGACATTAAAACTTCTCCACATTGTAGTGTCTGCTATGGTTCTGTGGACCACTTCCCTTTAGCCTTGCAGACCCACAATGGTCTAAAGGCCCATAAGTTTGGAACCAGGTTTCAAGTTTATTTTGTTTAACTGGGTGGTAACTCGAGGGTCCAGGATCGGTCTAATTTGCAAGAAAGGCCTGGGGGCATCAAAGTGACAAGAGCAAAACAAGTAAAATATCGCACAGAAATTAAGCAAATAGTAGTTGCAGCGGAAACCACTGTGTCACAGGTAAAATCGAAAATATTGCACAAACACAAGTCATCGTTAAATAATAACTTCCCTGCAGTGCAAGGCGACCCTAGCGGAATTATTGTAAGACTCATCATAGTACAATTATAAGTTAATTTATGTAAGTATTAAACCGGTTATAGTGTGACTTGTTGTACTCGTATGTAAGTGGACAAGGATTAGATGTAAAAATGCCGCTCCATTCCAGACCAGAGTTTGCCTGCCAAACCAAATGTTTTTGAAAGACATTGATCTAGGACACCTGAAGCATGAAGGACCAAAACAATATTTTATTTTTACTTGGTCAAACAAAACCTTGTGTTTTTTTTGTGTTAATGACCCTTGGACAACCCGTCCAATAGACGTCGTGGTTCAAGGCACTCGCACAGCAACTCACTTGACCCTTGTCAGACAATCACCGCCCACCTGACATTGACCACTCGCCAGTTGACCCTCACCACTCACAAGTAGGGATATACATCGATGGGCACGTACATTCGTACAGAGATACATGCACACAGATGAGGTGCAAATGATTCAAAACTATTTTGTGATGCTGCTGCTGCTGCGTTGGCTGTACTGCACAGGCACTAATAACAGTAACAATAACTCGACACATTTGTCAATACCACTGTGGCCTTAAAATGGAAAATACCTGATAGCCAACGTTTCGGGTCATGGTCCTTATTCATAGCACATACAAATCACGTTTATTTTATTTCCTCTTCAGGCGGTGGTATGGATGACTTGATTGTGCTCATTGATATATATTTGATTACGCGCACTCCAGAAATATTGTACGTAGTAGTTTAGTACGAGAATGCCAATTTGGTTCCTTTACACACGTGACCTGAAGTTGATCCTTTTTTCTTTTTCCTTTCCAAAAGTATTTTATTGAACAAACGATTCCGGTACACACACACACACAGGGCATGTGTGGGAAATTACACCAGTATCATAGACACAATGTGAAGTACAATCATAATTATTAGCCGACGTTTAAAATGTTGAACACGTCCGTGTGTGTGTTTCAATAAACTCTATACTTCCCTAACTCGGATAACCCACCTGGGGGGAAGGGCGCGTAGGGGTGGGGGGGGCAGGGAGAGGAAAACCAAAAGGGGTACGTGGAGTTGATGGTGCAGCGCGCCGCTGTTCCCGCAGTCCACCTGGTGGACATCTGGAACATGATCGAGGCGTTCCGTGAGAACGGCCTCAACGCCTTGGACGCGGGCGCGGAGGTGAGCGTGGCGCGGCTGGAGAACCTCATCGCCTCCGTGTACTACCAGCTGAACAAGCGGCTGCCCACCACCCACCAGATCCACGTGGAGCAGTCCATCAACCTGCTGCTCAACTTCATGCTCGCCGCCTACAACGGGTAGGGCGTGCTTCCCCGGGCGTGTTAGATCTATATCCATATTCTTTGGTTCTTTCGGTAAGTCACATAGGTAAAAAATAAAATAAGAGATAAGAATAGAAATAAATAAATGAAGGTGAATTAAATCACGACGTTTCGATTGCAACACAAGCAATCATCATCAAGAGTTAAAATCACAGCCAGAAATGTTTTACTAAAGTGGGAGAAATGCCGAGGCTTAGGAGTTTTAGGTATTACCTTGTTATCGCGGCAACTCTTGAGGAAGGTTAGTGACTCGATTAGCTGTGATTTCTCGTCTCGTTGTCTGTTAAAAACTCTAACAGAAATGTGGAAGCCCTCCCCGTAGAGGCGATTCATTCTAGATTTGAAGTTTTCGTGACTGCAAGGATCCATATTCTTTGGTTCTTTCGGTAAAGTTCAAATCTATAATTGTTAGATCTAGTGTCAGAGGTACGATAGAAATGTACTCCTAACTATAGATCTATCTTTCGTTTAACATCTATCCATATTATTATTAGAAAGCCACTGGAGCTATGCAATTTTAAATCTGGATTGAAAACTAATTTCTTTAGAACAGATTTTTGTGTTTAGTTGTTCACCACCGATGAGCACGGTTGGTTATGTTCGGTGTGGAATAAGTTCAACATGCATCCATCCTCACCCTTAACCTGTGTCCAGCCTACATTCAAACCCAATCCTAACCACAACCTGGACCCAGCCACCATTCAGATCCATCCTCACCCTAACCTGGAACCAATCGCCATTCAAACACCATCTTAGCCCCAACACAAACACAGCGACCAATCAGACTCCATCCTGGCCCAGCCACAATTCCATTCCCATCCTCACCCTAACGAGACCTAAACTCGTGTTTAGACTCCAGCCACCAATCCAATCCCATACTAACCCTGCCCTGGACCCATCCACCACTCAGACGGCTTCCCTGCAGCACCGTCGTGACGCGTGAACCCCGCTGTGTCGGCAGGGAAGGCTGCGGCAAGATGACGGTGTTTGGGGTGAAGGTGGCGCTGGCCACCATGTGTGGAGGCAAGGTCGTGGACAAGCTGCGATGTGAGTGCACGCACGGGTGCACGCACGGGCGCACGTACGGGCGCACGTACTGGCGCACGTACTGGCGCACGCACGGGCGCACGTATGAGCAGGGCTTGCGGTCGGGGAATTCTGCTAGAGATGGGCCCCGGGTTTCCCTTCGCGGGCGATGTTGGCGAGGGTCATTTAAGAAAAGTCGTGTCGCTGCGTGCTCTGGCTTGATGTGAAGTTGCCCGAAGCGGAGGTTGGGTTCTGCTTCGTTAATCAATCTGTTGAATGTTGGACCAGTAGCAGTGGATGCAGCGTGCTTGTTTGTGACGCAACGCTCACTTACGGTGGACGCTCACCTTTGATCGATGCTCACCCACGATTCATGCTCGCCTGTGTCTGTGTGCCACGTCCTCTGCATACCCCCCGCCCCCCCCCCCCCCCCCCCCCCCCCCCCCCCCTCCACCACCACTTGCCCATCCGCAGATATTTTCTCCCAGATCTCAGACTCAAATGGCGTCATGGTCCTGAACAAGTTCGATCAGTACCTGCATGAGGTCCTCAAGCTGCCCACGGCCGTCTTCGAAGGGCCTTCCTTCGGCTACACGGAGCAGGCTGCCCGCTCGTGTTTCCCACACCAGGCAGGCCCGCACAGTGCCACAGCCTCTCCACAACCGGCCTCTGCACTGTGACAGCCGCTCATACAGCTTGCACACAGACAAACCTGTCTTCTACAGCATACACACTGGCACCCCTGTCTCTTACAACATACACGCTGGCATCCTGCTTCTTAGAGAGCCTGCACACTGACAGAGTTTCTTCGAATACAAAGACAAAGAGCCTCCGTATAGCCTGAACAGACTGTTGGGGCAAGTGCTGCTAGTGAGCACCTATGAAGGTGGGAACGGCACACGAAGTGGTGGGTGGCCAACACTACGCCCGGCCGTTTTTGTCTCTCCAGTGGTGATGTTTACACACCACACCAGGTACTCAGTTGAGGCTGAGTCGACCTAGGGTAGGCCCGGGTCCGCATCAGATAATCGTCACTGGTGTTGGTCGTGAGCGCGAATGGAACCCGGGTCGCCGGGTTCGTAGCGCAGCGCTAACTGCTACACTACCCCTCACCACACACTCACACATGCAGTGAAAGCTTTATCTTACAGCTGTAACAGATAGTTTGTAGCTTGGTTGTTATTTTTTTAAAGTTTACTTTTTGTAATGTCAGAGATGCGTTGCTAACGCGGCCCGCGGTCAAGTGCGCCGACTGCCGCGGTCGTGCAGCAACGGTTCTCTGCCTTGGAAACAAAACGCATGTGAATCTCATGGCCAGCCACTGGGAGGCAGTGTTGTTTTCAGAATGGTTCCTGTTGGAAGTTCAATGTTAATAGACCGGTGGTACCCAACGTTTCTGGACCCCGCATCATCACTGTCAAGCCTCAAACAGTTTTTCCTGCGTCGCTACGCAAATATTTTATGATATGTATGTTGGAACTTTTTTCTCACCGCCCTTCTCGACCCCCCCACATTCCCCCTGCTGGGTTTTTTTTTCCCACTGTAGAAGAAAGTGACGCTCAACGTGTTTCTGGACGCGCTCATGTCGGACCCGCCACCGCAGATCCTCATCTGGCTGCCTCTCATGCACCGCCTGGCCAACGTGGAGAACGGTGCGTGGTGGAGCCCCCTGGGGTGCTACACACCCCCCCCCCCACCACCTTGCGCTCGGGTGAAATGTGGAGCTGTGCATGGAGTGGCACGAAGGAGACTGCGGCTGTGAAAAGAAGCTTAACGGCTCATGGGATTCCTCCAGTATAAATAAAGATTCTGATTTGTCGCAACGGTGATACGGCCACGTTCTCGGCACTCTTGTGAGTCGGTTATCTGGACAAGGCTGGGAGTACGACAAGCACGCAAAGCATGATGGGAGTCCTGCCTGTTTGTGAGCAGCACACCTTTGTGTGCTGTTAAATCTATATACTTTTTTCAGTCTGCGCAAATCTTCCGGTTGCGATGGGTTATTTAGAAATGTGGAGTAGGAGAACGACGCTCCGATTCTTAATGGCAATTACTCAGTGGGATGCTGCCCTGATGTAACGGTAGGCACACCGCAGTATAACCCAGCAGTATAAATGGCTACAGCACAGATTAGTCGATCGCCAAGTTGCGTATGGTGGGGTAAAGTGTGGGCACTCCCACCTCTTCCAAGACGTCCAACCAGCGTGGAAGAGTAGGCCAAGTATACCTTCTAGACGAGGAGCTCTCTAGAGCACTCTCAAGTGGGGGCAGGCTTTTCATTCGGCAGTGGTGAGAGAAACCATTTCGCTGGACAGCGGTGGCTATGCACGTGACCTGTAATCCAGCACTGTGGAGGCAGCGAGGTTTCGTGGATTGCACAAATGTTGTGAAACCCTCCCGTGGGCATAGGAAGCGTCAATACCCTGGCTCGCCAGGAGAAGGATGTACACAAAGTGAACTCGTCGCCATTTGTTTCCATCCGTACGGGGATAGAGTGTTGCCCCCCTTCCCCGGGAACTCCGGTTCCCTCCCAGGTGTATAAACACTTGTTTTTTCGCTGATAGCATCTTTAAAAAAAACATTTTCAGGACCCTCCTTAAAAAAAGTGTCTTTCCTGGATGAATAAGTAATGATTACAATATTTTTTTATCACGTTCTTTACCGTGGTCACGCAAAGTCGACTGAGCGGGGGGTTTCGTGTCGTGCGGGCGCGCAGTGTTCCACCCGGTGGAGTGCTCGTTCTGCCACAGCGAGAGCATGCTGGGCTTCCGCTACCGCTGCCAGCAGTGCCACAGCTACCAGCTGTGCCAGGACTGCTTCTGGAGGGGTCAGGCGAGCAGCACCCACTCGAACCAGCACCAGATGAAGGAGTACACCTCGTGGGTACGTGCAGCGCCAACACACACACACACACGTGTGGTGTTTTTACACGCGTGCTAAAGACAATGATCCCCTGCATAGCCTGAACAGACTGTTGGGGCAAGTGCTGTTAGCGAGCACATGGTGAGGGGTGGGTCGTCAACACCACACCTAGCCACCTTTGTCTCCCCAGTGCTGATGTTTTACACACTGCACCAGGTTGCTCATTTAAGGCTGACCTACCTAGGGGAGAGCTAGAACCGGTTCTAACATTCTCTGCTGTTATTGGTCATGGGCAGGAATCAAACTCGGGTCGCCGGGTTCGCAGTGCAGTGCGCTAACCGCTCCACCACGCGCACACGCGCACATGCGCATGCATTCCAGAAGCACCACGTGAAGGAGGAGTACAGGTCACTTATACGAACACACACGCACACTGATGTGTTGAGCAATGTTCGATGTGTGTATGGGCTGGTCCATTTATAGATGGCCCACTAAAATAATGCCGATAAATTTTAGAGAACTTCGCGTCTTATACCCAAGTCTCTAAATTTTTATGCAACTTAATAAACCTTTTATACGTATATAAAAACACCTCTCCTATAAGATATAGAGCCAGCGCTCGTACAATATTCAGTCACCTGCAGAGAAGAAAGTTACAGGGACAGCGTGAATCATCATTGGGGCGGTTACGGCCCAGCAGTAGCGCGTTTGCTGCTCGTTGCAGATGTTCGCGATTTGAATCCAGCAGGTCGTCCTGGTTACTACTGCCGGTGTATTGACAGTGAAATACTGCCCGCCGTCGGCTGCACAGCGGACGTTAAATATACCGTGACAACATCCGAAATGAGTAGGCCCATTGTGTGCCACGCGTCACCGTCCAAATTGGCCCCAGTTTGAAAAATTACACGGCGCATTCCTGGGTATGGATTTGCACTCCGCTGCATTAAAGCGAGCACCATATAAATGCAAAGGTTATTATTACATTTAGCTCGTAGATTTTCACATTCAATATAACGATCGGAAAATTATTTTTGGGTTTGGCCATGGAATGATTATGATTAGATTTGATGATTATTATCTATGAATGGATTGCACTGTATTTTAGTCATGTGCGCCCTGACCCACGCTAACCTTTCCTCGCTTCCTCCTCCTTCCACCTCCCATCTCGCCCCCTTCCCCACCACGTAGAAATCCCCGGCGAAGAAACTAACTCGCGCCCTTAGTAAATCTTTGGGCTGCGTGCCGAGCCGCGAGCCCGCACACCCCATGTACCCCGACCAGCCCGAGAAGCCCTTAGACCTCTCCCACATTGTGTGAGTATCGTCGGACTTGCCTTCACACCCCCCCCCCCCCTCTTCCCGACACCGGGGCTGCCTAGGGTTGCCGCGATATCGTTCTTGTTAACAGCGATGAGTTTCGTACTTGAAAATTTCGGAATTTGTATTATTTATGACGATTTAAAATGTCGCTTTTTACAAAATGCATTTGTCGTAATATTTCGTTTTACATACGCTCGTCGTTCAGTCACATTGCATTTCACAAACGCTGTGGAACCACAGACAAGCCGGAAGGCAACCGGGCGGTGAACCGGTGTCAACAATTGCCCAAGCCCTGCAGTCCTCTATATTATAATAAATTGTTTTTAGCCATACTCTTAGGTTTTTTTTCCGGTAAAGTCACGTAGGTAAAAAAATTATAATAAAATAATATTAAATTAAAATAACTGTATCAAGTGATACAGTAAATTTAGCTCTGACCGTCCCACGTGAAGACGGAGACTTGTGTTGCCTCCGAAACGTCGGGATTTAATTGAGTTATTCTCACTTATTATTATTTTATTATTATTTTACCTACGTGATTTTACCGACAAAAACCAAGAGTATGAATCCCTGCAGTCACGAAAGCTTCAAATCTAGTGTTTTTATCCATTCATTGAGTGATTATACATTATGTAATTAACGTGTATTCGTACTAACAATAGTGATGTCACCCACTGCCACATGGACACCACTTTTATTGGGAAAAACGCGGAAGTGACGTATCACCTTAAGTGACGTCATACTTTCACATCGATCCAAGCCAACCTTTTTTCCGATTGGAAATTCATATCTAGGCCCATTTTTTTTCAGATTAATATAAAAACCGGGAACATATCCCTAGCTTGTAATAGTATTTCACGTTTTTGAAGAATCTGTTTTTCTGCTTTCGATGTACATCCAGCACTGAATGATTTGCTTAAAAGTTATTCAACTACAGTTCGCTCAACTCCAGCCTTCCATAAGTCTTACAAATTATTGCCATTTCTCGCACTTATAATGCACCCGCTGCCAGTAACGCTGAAAATAAATAAATAACTTGTTAAATGACCCGCGGCAATTGTGGCGTTACACAATAGCCACGCAGTCAATGAGTCGGAAACACATTTTGCCGAGCGATAATTTAATCGACAATAGCTGTCCCATTCACAACTGTAATCATTGCATTTGTTATTTCGTACGTAATTTTCCGCGAGATAAAACATTTAAGAAAAATAAAACGAACAACAGAAATTTTGCAAAACGGACGATGCAATCTCCCTGGATCTTATGCCGTACGATGTATCGGGAGTATCGTTGTTTCGTGGCACCCTGGAAACCAGCCACCTACTCCCCTCCCTCCTGGACCTCACGGTTGTCTTTCTCACATCAGTCTGTTACCATTCCTGTTGAGAGATTTTCGGTGATTGTGTTGCCCGTGACTGTCATGCTGCCCTGTGTGGTGGTGGTGGTGGTGTGATGCGTGTCGGCAAGGTCATGCCAAATATCGCAATGTAGCGGGATATTCCTGGCAAAAAATTGTGGAAACTTGATAAGACTTTCCTAGATAATTGAGGGTGTTACTCTATGTATGTATGTATGCACGTTGAACTTATTTTGCACTGTACCTAGCCAACCGTGCTAATCGGAGGTGCGGAAATACATTACTGTACAGTGATGATGGTGCCACAGTGGTGATGATCTTCTTGGTTCTTTCGGTAAAGTCACGTAGAAGGGAAATAATAAAATAATCAAAATTAAACATAATAAAATTAATGTATTTTATTATGTCTTATTTTTATTATTAAAATACATGTAATTTATTATGTTTTCTTTTTATTATTTTATTATTTCCCTTCTACGTGACTTTACCGAAAGAACCAAGAAGATGAATCCCTGCCGTCACGAAAGCTTTAAATCGAAAAAAAGTGGTGATGATGTTAGGTGTGTGTTTTGTGAGGCTTCGATTCTCTTGATGCTTTCGATATACAGTTGCTCTATAGATCAGAGATGTTCACACTGGATAATCCCTGTTGCACAAGGACATCGTGGAAAACAGAAGTAGATTTCACCCTGGTTACGGGATCATGCAATCCTAAATAATGACAGATTTCTTACCAAGCCACTGCTCTTATCTAACCGTTTCCGATGTATATAGTGCCTTAGTACAAGGCCCTTTACAATAACAATAAAGTTGTACATTAGATGACAGTGGTTAAAATAAAGAGTGGGATTATTAAACGCGGTGGTGTAGCCGTGGTGACATTAAGGAGCACAGGTGGGAGTGGTTAAGTGATGGGTTGGGGTAGGGGGTAGTGCTTGATGAAGACCACCTACGGAGTGTAAGTCATGTGGGTAGTTTGACCATACTTCACCTTGCTGATTAGTGCGGGTCGATAAAGGGGATGATGCTCAGGGCTGGTTCATCCATCACTCGCCATGAACCCAGGATAGCCGGGTTTGTTGCGCAATGCACCAAGCAACTGTACCACCACCAGCCCTGGCCATCTCGGCAATACCTGCTGGTCATCACGTGAGCAGATTGGCTGCCACTGTGGTCAAGACTTCTCCACGGGCTTCCACATTCCACATGGCCCAATGAATTTCAGGCCTTCCCCCCCCCCCCCCCCCCGAAACAAGGATGGGGAATATTTTCATTCCCAGGTGGGGGCTGGGGTTATTGAGCAAGGTTTGATTCGCCCGAGTGCAAAACAGTTAACAGGAATAATCGACGTAATTTTTTTCAAGGCGAAATGTTTGAAACACGCGGACGTTGCTCATTTTGCTTGTGGGCGAGCACGGGAGAAATAGTTTTTCCTGTCTTCCTTATTCTTCTTCTCCATCTTCGCTTGAATAATTCGCCTTTGTTGCTGCAGCTGAGACAGAGAGGTCGGTCCCTGGTTGTCGTCGTGTAGCTAAATGCAGATGGGCGCAATCCGGTTCACTGCTTAATTTGCGAGCTGTAGAACATTCGCGACGCTTTGTGCATTGGTGTTCGCATTCGTGCTGCGCCCCCCCCAACCCCCTTTTGCGTGCTTGAGTACGAGCGATATCAAATCAGAATTCATTCTTGCCAAACAACACAATACAAACAGCACGGTGCTGTTGTTTCTTTGTTTACAGGGTGATTCGATCAATCGTTGTGATTCTGGATCACGATTCGATTAAAGATTATATTCGTTTTCATATGCTTTCCAACAAACGTTGAAAGTGTCCGTGCATGAGCTCTCTCCCATCGGTCTGTAACGAGGGCGCACGAGTAACTCCCGTGCAGATGATCCAATGTGAGCTAAACTGTAGCATTACTGGTGTTGTGTCGTTGCTCTTCGGGAGGTACCCAGTTAATGACGATTAAAACTAATCGAATAGTTGCCTAAAGCTTGGAGGCACAAAGCAGCAAAAATGTTACGATTTGTAAAATGTGCAAACGCTAGTTTGACCCTGACAGCTCTGCGTCCGCCTTCATACTGCTAATTAAATGCTTCCATAGACGAACTCGATTTGGACTAGCATCACACGGATCCATGGCGTATACACGATTTTTCATTGCTTGTTTTGCCATAATATTGCGGCGAATGGTAGCACCTCCGGTGATTGCAAGGGTGACTCAAACCAATTACGAACAACATACACAACTCTAAATGCATTCATTTTCACACACACATTATCCTAGCCGGGCCATGTTTATGTCACGCTGGCACTGTGGATGACCGGCCCTCTGTCCACCTGGCATGTTGCCTCGTGCATGTCATTGCCTGCGGCTGTTTAAACAGATCCAGGGTTGAATTAGGGCTTTGTTTGTTATGTGCCCGGGGATGGAGCGGTTGGGCACAGCGGTTCGCCTGCTGCATGCTACGGAAGGCGGCAATCCGAGTTCGATTCCCGGCCATCGCTAACGTGCAAGTAATAATGATCACGGTAATTTTAACTTGCAAAGCGCCGCACAGAATTCACTCCCGACGAGAGAGAACGACTCGATAGGATCGAGGAGGAACCACAGGCGAGCGGGAAGGCGGTGGCCACACAGTCAGCCCGGGGCCAACCATTGCCCAAGCTCCACAGTCCTCTGTATATTAAGATGTTATTAGCCAATAAATGAGTGTTTTACACGTGGGAGAAAAACCGGAGCAGCACTCCAGGAATCCCACACGTGCCAGGAGGAAACACTGTAGTCTATCCAGGACGGTCCACATTTTTGCTGAACCGTCTTCTCCTGGCAAGCCAGGGTATGGCACCACCTCGATACCCACGGGAAGGGAATTTGACAACATGCTGTGCAGTGGTCCAGCAACCCTCACTGCCACCAGAGTGTTCAATTTCAGGCGTGCTCCACCATCGCTGCAGTTTTGTGAAGTATGGTAATCGACATGGCATGGATAGGCATTCATCCATTGGTGGATTGAGAATGGATGGAATGAATTGTATTATGTTTTGTGCTTTGCTTGTGACCAAATCACCCAGAATGCCCTCCGTCTCATCAGTCCTGTCGGAAGCGAAGCATGGTTGAGCCCGAATAGCGCTTGGGAGGGAGGGCGACCTCCGTGCTGTAGGATGGCCCCCCCTCACTTTCTTCACTAACTTGCACTCACCAGTGTGGGCAAGTACGGTCATATAACTTCCACGACCCGCACGGTGTGGGGAGGCCCCATCCAGCAGTGGAGTGGCAGCAATGGCTGTACGTGTACCTGCTGTATGTGTGCTATGGCTGTGGTGTGGTGCAGTGCCCTCCAACAGGTAAACATTTTAACCAACATTTATATCGGTAAAGGTACAAGTGGAGTCCTGCGATTGCTTGCTCACGCCATTGCTGGCAGCAGGGCCTCCTATCTTGGGAGTTCCTCCGAGCCTCTCTAGAGCCCGATTCTTCTCTGCTGGGAGAGCTGGGAGTACCCACGCTGTACCCCACCACGCGTGAGCTGCCAATCAACTGCCGCGTGGACAGAGGTGGCAGCGGTGGATTTAAGAGACCTGTCCCATTGTTGCAACTGTCGCGCCGGGGACATTATTTTTATTCTTAT